CTCTTATACATAACTCTAATCTTAGTTAATACTTTTGTTCTTTTTTATGCTTCTGTAAACAGGAACAATAGTCACTAGGAATGTGAATCATTCAAAGTCGTGGAATGGGTTAGCCAAATTTGTCTATAACAAAGCTTTTACGAATATTATGTTGACATAATTATGTTCTGCCACCCACCCACTTGACACTTAATAGTTGTAGTCTCCGCTTCATTCCCAAGCCAACTTTTACAACTTTTACATGCGGCGCGACTCTCTACTTGTTCGTATTGGTTATGTCTGTCAGCAGCAGTGTAAAAAGGGACCAGAAAAAACGAAATCATCCCGCCCTTGCTCGCGTGTACACTTCTTACGCAATATAATCCGAAAATGCTATAATCCACGAGGTTATAAAAAGCGCAAACTTGCGCAAATAAGTAAATGGCTGTAACTTGATACATAAAGCAAGGCGCTAAAAGTTGACCTCTAAAGAAAAGGGTGTCCTATGTATATACCCTCAAACAAAACCTATTCCCCTGAAAATTATTTTTACACGAATAATCTCAAAACTCGTTCATCGTGAGTTCACGCGTGACGATTTGGCGAAAAGTTTCTTACAGGAGTACGCGCGTAAAAAAAAATACTTGACACTTGATGGCAATTGACCATGATCCATGAATTACAGTATCGATCACGTTTCATTCGAAGCATGCTTCGGCTTCGCGATGTATCAGGTACTTTCTAAAGGAATCGTGTCCAAAATCCCCCTATCCCTATCTAGTATATTTTATAGCAGAATGTACTAGTTTTTATTAAGGAATTTCGTAAGTAAACCTTCAAATAACTGATGAATATAAATTCTATGCTTTTCCGTTGCCGGAATTGGATAGGTTGTGTAATGATTTCCAGACATATAATGATTTCCAGAAAAGACATTTACAAATTAATAATGTACTTCCTACCTTTGGGCGAACATACGGCGGTATAACCCAGTGTGTATATACGTGAAGATGTACGTATAGAATCAGATACGCAAATGTAAAGTATTTAGCGTTGAGCGTCCATCGTCAGACAGTCGTGCGATGCGCGTCTGCACTCAGATCAGGTTTCGTGATTTGCGCGCGGTTTTAAATGCACAATTATTGCGCAATCTTCGCACATGTTTTAGCATATCTTGCGCGGCGCACACACACGCAGAAATCTCGCATCTTGTCTTGTCTCGCATCTTGTCAACAAGATTTTCTCGCATCTTATCAACAAGATTTTCTCACATCTTGTCAACAAGATTTTCTCGCATCTTATCAACAAGATTTTCTCACAACTTGTCAACAAGATTTTCTCACATCTTGTCAACAAGATGTGTTCGCAACAGGCTTGTAGCAAGCTTGTCAACAAGTTGTAACGATGTTGTCATTTTATCAAGTTGCAACTTGTTAACAAGTTGTTGAATTGCAGGGGTCAGTTGTTCGAACCTCGATAAGTTTAACCCAGGTCAGCCTAAACGGTGGCGGAAATTCACTTTTACCGAGAGCCTCTAAATTTCCAAACAAAACGTTCAAATTCCGACGTAACCCCCATTTGCACTCGAAAGACTGTTTTTTAGCCCTCTTTTAGGTCAAAGGTTTTTAGCCCTCTTTTAGGTTTCCGTGAAGGTGGGGGGGGGGGGGGCTGCCCCCACCCCACCAAGATTTCCGCCACTGAACCTAAAATTTAAAGCAAACTTCCCAAACAGCTTGTTTATAAATTTGGAAATATTTCTTCAGAAATCTTGTCTGGATCAGCAGGAGTTGTCTTCTCTCAGGGCTCAATATAACGGTCGGCCACCGGCCATTAGCCGAGCAAAATGATATGGCCGTCTACTGATTGCCCTGCACGGACATTATGGCCGATCGTTTTGTCTCATTAATTTGAAAATTTCTTCCTTTATTGTTGCAAATCTTTTTAACAAAATCTGTAATCTTTAACACATGCAAACAAAGATTCCGTCTGCTAAACAATCATAGAATCTGACTTCGTCCCGATCCACATAATTAACAATGTCATCTAGTTGATTATTAAAACAACCGCGTCGATTAATATATATATATATATATACTGTTACTTAGTAAGTTGTCGTTGATATTGTGTAATTTTGTTAACCATTATGCATATGGTTTTGGACTTTTGGTAGTTGTTACGGCTTTGGTTTCTAGTACTGTGACAACTGACAACGTCCCTCTTGAGAATAATTAAGTGTCCAATCATGTCCGACCAAAACATGGGGTGGTCTGACACAATGTCAGACAACGTTTTCAGAATTATCTTGAACTCTTAGAGTCTTCTCTGAAGTTTTGAAGTAAATGGACGTGCACAAATACATAAACTAAAACAGCAAGTTAAATTTTAACCGAGGGTTAAGGTGTGTAATTAATTTGCATCGCAGGTACGTCAACTGGACTGGGTGGACAATGTTTGGCCGAAAGAACTCATCAGACAACAACGTGATTCAACCAATAATATGGATGACATGAAGTATCCTAAAGTTAGAAAGTAAGTTGTGTAAACCACAGACAGATTCTTTGGTGGGGCGGGGGGTAGGAGATCGGTGCACACTGGGGGGACACTCTCTGAGACAGTCACCATGAACCGATCCATAGTGAAAATTTCTACTGTTTCTGAACCAGCTCAAAATTGATATGAATGCATGAGAGTTGAAGAGAGGTCTATCGAGAGTCCACTCGCGTCAACTCTCATCCGCGTTTCAGCGGAGGTTGAGATGTTGTTGTGTGTTTCTAGGTATGTGTTGATGAGTGTTCGTGAAAGTTATACAGATTTCCATATTGACTTTTGTGGCTCTTCTGTTTGGTATCACATCGTAAGAGGAAAGAAGGTGAGCTGCTGGTAATATGGTAAAGCTGTACAGTATAAATAACTAAGTTAGTTTAGTTTGAAGCTTCCTCCTGTAGCAACACTGGATCAATAAGAGATGATCCTTACTGAACCTCTTGGGAGAACAGTTTAGAACTGACACAGCTATCCAGTATAAATAAAGTTAGTTTAGTTTAGGTTTCCTTCTGTAGCAACACTGGATCAATAAGAGATGATCCTTACTGGACCTCTAGGGAGGACAGTTTAGAACTGATAGAACTATCCAGTATAAATAAAGTTAGTTTAGTTTAGGTTTCCTCCTGTAGCAACACTGGATCAATAAAAGATGACCCTTACTGGACCTCTAGGGAGAAGAGTTTAGAACTGACACAGCTATCCAGTATAAATAAAGTTAGTTTAGTTTAGGTTTCCTTCTGTAGTAACACTGGATCAATAAAATATGATTCTTACTAGACCACTAAGGGAGAACAGTTTAGAACTGATAGAGCTATCCGGTAAAGATAAGGTTAGTTTAGTTTAAATCTTTGTATTCCAGATCTTTTGGCTTATTCCTCCGACTGAAAAGAACCTCAATATCTATGAGAACTGGGTGCTATCTGGCAAACAACAAGATGTATTTCTTGGCGATCAAGTGGAGAAATGTTCGATCATTGAGATGAGTGCTGGAAACACATTCTTGATGCCCTCAGGTAACGTGGAGGTTACGTTTGAGTTTGTTTTCCACTTCAATCTTGTTTCCTGAGCACAAGAGTGGAACAAATGACTTCGACACGAAAGAAAATGCTACAGTATGTAACGCTCAGCGAGCTCTATATATAACTGGAGCGAGAATTCGAGTCAAAAAAGTGAAGCCAAGATTGTGGAAATTGAAGAGATATTGGACGTCAGTGACCACCATCTTCAGGCCTTAAAATATCTTTTACAGGGCCGTCTGACAAAATGTCCGGTGACGTTGAGTTTGGGTCCGGTGACCTTCAGTTCAGTTTTGACTCGGAAATAAGTTTGAATGACACAAATGAATAAACGGTAAATGTTGTAAATATATTAAATAATTTGTTTCTTTCATACTTATTTTCAAGCCAAAATTAACTTGCTTGCCAGAAAAGCAGTATTAAAAAAGACTTCGACAACTTAAGTCCGTTTTCCACTTCACCATTTCGCTCGCCGCCCCGCGCTTGACTACATTAAAACAACATTTCCAGTTCAACTTTTATACAATAGTACTCTGACTTTCCATTTAACTTACAAGCCTCTAGTCCTGGGCTAGGGTACATTTTGATTTACGTCTGACAAAGCTACAGTTAGGTCGGACACCAATACACTCTGGTCGGACAAACAATAAACCTCAGTTTCACTTTGGTCGGACAGAATGTTCGGTGGTTTCCTCTCTACGTCGGACAATTTCACGAATGGGTCGGACAATGTCCGTGACCGACCGATATTTTAAGGCCTGTCATCTTGGCTTCATTTTTCTCAAATGGCTAAAGTTCATACTCGAGATATATACAGCTAATTCAAAAAAGGTTGACCTTTGCAAACCTTAAACTCTAAACCTTAAACCTTAAACTCTAAGCGTGCAAAACATAGGAGGATCATTTAATCAGTTTAGAAATCCTATATGCTGGGGCCCATTTCTTAGAGACACGGTAAATATCTCCTTACGAAAACAATTCATTCACAAATAGCTGCAATATTCAACTACTAAGCCTGAAACTTGTACTCCCATCAAGCTTTGCGCGCTTACAGTTTAAGGTTTAAGGTTTACATTTTAAGGTTTGCAAAGGACAATCTTTTTTGAACTAAATGCATGTATATAGATAGATCTCACTGGTTACGATACGATTGAAGTGGAAAATATGCTTTCTCTAACTTTTTTCGGTCTCTGAGTAAATTTTTTAAAGATGCTTCTAATCTTCCTTGATAACGATAACTTCGTGACACGATAACGATAACGAAAGCATCGTGTTTTAGGCTGGATACATGCCGTTTATACTCCTGAAGATAGCTTGGTGTTTGGAGGAAACTTTATTCATTGTTTTAACGTCGAGAGACAGCTGAGGATTTGTGATATTGAAGAAAGCACAAGGGTAAAGCAGAATATCTTGTTAACCTACACTGCTTTGGTTTTGATAAGGCCAAAAAAAAATATGTGGGTTTCCGGTTTCTTCTTATAAAAACTTAGGTAGGGTAGGTCGATTTTAACTTTTTTTTTAAACTTTTTTTAAAATTTTCCTAACAACCGGACGCCATTTTGTTTAGTCAGTGCTTCCACATCCAAAGATAAATTTCCCTAATATTGCCTCAAATTTCAATTTTCCACAAACTTTTTCCTCTAAGTGGAAACACTTACAAGCATGATCCAATAAAAAAGTTTAGGGTCGGGATTTCGACGTCCAAAAGCTGTAGGTAGGGTCGGGAAACCGGAAACCCGCATATTTTTTTTTGCCTAAATATGAATTATTATCATTAATAATTCATAAGCTGGAATAGAATGGAATGGTATACAATATGATTTAAGCTGTGCTGAATTATGAACCAATGTAAATCAATGGTCTATATACCTGTTGTGACTTCTGATAGATCACTCCAACTTTAAATTTCTCTGCATGACCATGTTCATCAAAGCGACTAATGAGGGATGATGCCTAATTAAGAAAAACAAAAAATTGTCATATCGTTATATAGGGTGTCCCAAAAAAAAACACAAATTATTAAAATAACGTATTGTTAGAATTTGAATGCCTTAGCACTAAGCTGAACGCAAAGATGCGTAAAATACTGACAGCGTGCATATATTATAAATATTGACTTATTTACAAATTAAAATATTTTTGTAAAGCGCACTGCTCTTGGGAATTTAAAGCAGCTTCTTAAACAGTTTATGCATAAAATTTACTTATATCAAGCTTTTATGCACTTTTTTGCTGCTAATTCCAAAAGCGTGGCGACAATCTCAAATTTCAATTCACGAACTTTCTTCCTATTTTTACTGCCACCGATTGTTTTAGATGCAAGATATTTTCTTCACACCCGAGCATTCTTTGATAACATTGGAACTATACTATTGAGTGCTCAGGCATTCAAATTCTAACAATGCGTTATTTGAACAGTTTGGTTTTTTTGGGACATCCTGTATGCCTAGAATAAGACAAACGAGTGCAATAACTGAATTGAGATTGAAACTCTTTCTATCTTGCACACATCTTCAGTAGCACTGGATCAATGAGGGGTGGATCCGACTGAACAACTACAGTGATTACAGTGAAACAGTTCAGAAAAGAATGAGACTTATTCAGTATAAATATAATTATTTAGGTTTAGTTGACAAACCTTTGGATATATGGCAGGTTGAAAGTGTAGCTCACTGAAGTCTTCCAAAAGATCAGGTACAAATTGCTAAAGACAATGAAATTATTTGAAGGTTCACCAATATAACCTATACAGTATATGAGCACAACCAAATTTGTAACACACAAGAAGAGAACTTACTTT